CTTCATTTAACTGCAATGCACATATTACACACCGCCTTATTGCACACTTTAGATAGAAACCGTTCACTCAGTGCTTGAGAATGAAAACAGAAAGTTCAGATCATAAAAAGAAATGAAACATGCAATAATAAATATAAAAATGTAAAACATCCTCTAAATAAGTGCATAAACTAAATGCATTTTTGGAAAGATAACATTAACAAAAAAAAATGTTTTTCCTAAATCATGTTGCTGAGATGAACAGCTGTTGACCCATGACTGCTTCTACTTAGTAATCCTTTCAAAATAAAATACCATGGCAGGAACAGATCCTGTGATGTTTCAAGTTTTTTTTTTTTGATCGTTGATTTGTTTGTTTTGAGAGGGATGATGAGTGGTAGGTGTTGGGATGAAAAAAAAGCACCTTCAGGAAACTTGCTGTGTCATAAAAAAAAGCAGTCACAGTGGCATCGATGTGTTGAAAACACATCTTTTACCTGGACTTAATGATTAAAAATRAAATCAACTAAACATTCAATCATTTTCCCCCTCAAGTCAGTTTCTGTGCAGATAAATGATTAATTTCTCGTAGGTTTTTGAACATTTAGGTTTGAGTTTTATGACGTTTACAAGTTTTAACAAACAGTAGAGGCATTGTTTAGAACATGTCAAACTCAAGGCCAGCGGGCCATGTCCGGCCCTCATTACTGTTTATCTGGCCTCAAAGATAATACTTTAAATCCAAAATAGTTTTATAGTTTTTCTTTTTGTCAAGTTTTTTTTCTCATGACAGCTGATCAACTTTGATTCCAAGAATTTTAGGTTCGAATTTTTCAGTGATTTTTTATTTTGTTTTTTAAAGAGTAATAAAGAATCAACTTTAATTTCCTTTTTCTGCATTCTCTTATTATTTTTCAAATACCTATTTTAGTGAGTATTTTTTTCTACTGATCTAAATGGTACATAAAACATAACTTGAAAAAGGTCATTTGTTTTTCTATAAGAATAATTTTGATAACATTTCTTCAACAAATAGACCAAAATCGACACATGGGTTGGACCAAGTCTTGAATTTTTGGCCTCTTGTGTAAGAGTGTGATACCGTTGAGGTTTTAAAAGTCACAAAAACCATCCAACACAAGAACATTAAGATGATTTGTTGGATAAAATCAGTTACAAAGTTAAGGAAACAGACACTATATGTATGACTGTAGGCTTTTTCATGTGACACTTCAGGCCAGGACTTAGACACCTTCTGACATTGGTGGGTTTTCTGAATGGGTGGTAGCCCACCCCTGATGCCCCTTTAAGCAGTGGGGTGAGGTAGCAACAGAGCCGAAACGTCATGTTCTCACAATACACGAGAGARGATCGTCTGATAAAAAACCCAAACCGAGGCCAAGAATCAGCTCTTYTGGAATTCCACCAGCAATGCTCACTTTGTCTGATTCATTATAACTAATAGAAACTGCAAGAAAAAAAGCGAAAACTAATAACTTTTAGAATGATGTGTAACAAAAACAGGATAACACTCTTATCTTCCTGAAAAAGGGGGCAGAGGGGTCTGTTCTCTGTGATTTCCGCCTGTGCTTCATGATGTTTTACATTCTTTGAAGCAACTGGCACAATGACCCAGATTGTAAGTTAACCACCGCTCTGCTGCTGGTGTCACAGTATACAGCCCCAGGCTGCATGACTTCGACTGTGTACAAGATTTCACTTCTTCTGTTTGGTTTCAGTCGTTTGAACAAAGTTCATTAGAAACCATCCACACAGAATTAAATAAGCCAAACTCCCTAAAGGTGTGGGGGGAGACAAAGATCTCCACGGTGACCTTTATTTTTTTTTTATTTTGTGTCTTCATCATCATCCAGGGACATAATCCCTGTTTGGCTCTGCAGCTGGCATGCAACTGAGTCACGCGTCAGCCCCGATTAGAGGCAACAGTGGTCCGCGGGCCCCGTTTCCTCTGCCGGAGCCAGGAGTGGAAAAGGCCAGGGCCACCACGTTCTGCTGTGGCTGTGACCTTGATGGGGTATGATGGAGAGGAAGCGACACGATTCGCAATGCCACACAATATCTGTAACCTTCCACTTCCCCACAGTGCACGCTGAAGCTATTGAGCTGTGACGCACGTGCACACACACACAAGCACAAGCACACACCATGTCAACTTTGCCCTCCTGTTATTTCAAGTGGTCTCCTTGGTCAAGTCATCCATCTCTCTTTGCATTTTGTCCAAGAAATCTTAAAATCCGCATGCTTTCCACTTTCTGTGGAAAAATAAATGGAGATAAAAACTAAAATAAACATAAAGAAAACAGGAAGTAATCAAATGCTCCACTCTACAGCTATAATTTGTAATTTTTTTGTGAAATCAGAACGTGCACTATTAGATTTGTTGTTGCTGTCACAGCAGTAAAGCCATTTTCCTTCTTGAAAGAAAAAAGTAAAAAATAAAACATGCAAAGCCTTCCAAAAGCCTTAAAGTTGATCAGAAGCAGCAGTAGAAGGCAGATGTCTTGTGAGTGAGATCATAGCAACACAAGTGTGGTGAGTGTGGCACCCAAGGCCCCAAAAATAGCTTCTGAATAATAAGGGGAAAAAAACCTCGGCTGTGTTGAAATACAGCTGAAAGGTAATGAAATGGAAATTGTGCTGTTCATCTGCGAGTGTGAAAGTAGGAAAGTTGGTACAAAAAGAAGCAGTGTCAACACAAGCTCCTTTTCTCGAAAACAACGCGTTTGTAGAAACTCCTTCGATCCACTTTGAAACGTCGCAGACCACGACTTCCGATTTAGAAAGTCAAGAGGCTCCGCTGAGGAGCTAAACATCATTTAGACAGGATGAGCCGAACACAGCTGGGATTTTTAAAAGTGCAGATGCTAAAAGGCTTCAGATGCAGCGACACAACACACAAGTAGTTGTTTCTATTTTATGGGGCACAAGTGGAAAATAAATTGTAAAAAACAAATATCATTAAAACATTATTATTTAGCTCACTTTGAGTGTAAAATCCTGGGTAACAAAATTTCCACTAACATTTTATTGTTATTTAGCTCACCGCTCCTATATTTTGCTATTTTTTAACTAAATATTTAAATGGCAAATCCTTAAATTTAAATGTAAAAGTTAAATGTTGACGTTTATTTAAGAATGGAACTCTGCTTTTGTCAGTGCTCGGTTGTTATGACATCATCATCCTGAGACAATAGTAGCTGCTAATGCTAGTAATGCTGCTAGCGCTGCTAACATTTCCCTATAAGACATCAAGCTTGCAGTTAGAGCCAGTGTCTGAGATGCACTTCAAAATGTCAGACCACAGGTACCGTATGTATTGTTTTTTTTAATGAATACATTCTGAGTTTAGATTTTAAATGCTAGCTTCAGCAGCGTCACCATGTCTTGTCTCAGGATGATGATGTCATAACAAAAGCCACCAACCAATGCCAAAAGCTGTGTTCAGTTCCGAAATCCTAAATATAAAATTTATTACTTAGTTGCAACTTTAAAAGTGTAATTTTTCATTTAGATTTACATGTTTAAATTAATGATTTAATTTTTTAACACTTAAGTAAACAGTAAGATAAAATCAAAATTTGAGTGAATTTTTTAGTAGGATTTTATGCTCAGAAAGTGAGCTAAAAATGAAAATGTTTGTGACATTTTTTAAACAATTTATGTTACACTTGGCACCACATACTACTTCTCACATTTTACACAAGAAAAGAAAAAAAAACATTTTTGCAAATTAGTTGAATTTGCAAGGCAGATAGATAGAGGTAGAGGTGCAGGAAGGGCGGCTGCACTCCTGAGAGAAGAGCAGCAGCACAACCTTGGGGCCCCTCCCCTCAGATTTTGGGTAAATTAATCTTATTATAGGGGGTGGGTAACAAGCTGTGACCAGGTTCACTTTTCTAAATAACAGCAATAGGAGAAAATAACACAGGTGAATAAAAAAAGGCAAAGGTAGCGACCTGATTCTGCATCATAGCAATCTACGCTGCTCACTAAACAATAGATGATGATTGGACAAATTGTCCCCCCTCCTGTTTATTCTAACTAATCCATTTAGGAGCAGGCCGTGTTTGGAAACGAGGAGTAGGGAAACGTGCCTGCTACAATCTGTAATTTGAACTACAGCACCTCCTCTGTGGTCAGCCATCAGACCTGTTCTCCTTTCACACAGGGAGACCATTCCTCCTAAATCACAACTTTGTAAATTAATTAAATAAATAACTAATGAGATAATTGGCGACTCACTATGGCTGAAATTAAAGCAGCCTTTGTTGCAAATTATTTCTCCCCATCATCACCACCTCCTCCTCCTCTCTCTCCTCTTCATCCCTGATCTTTAAACTGGCTGCTCCTCTGGCACACAACACGAAATCCCTCTCAATAATAAATAGGCAAGCCTCCAGCTTTTTTTTAACCAGACAGGGGCCCTGCCTCATGCATGACTCAAAGGACCACCWCAACTTTCTTTTTTTTAAATGCATAAAATATTCACATCAACAGGAGGCAGGAACCTGTGATGAAATCAAACAATAGCTTCTGCATTGTTTTTATT